GAACTTTAGGGGGCAGTTAGGTGGCTCAGTGGAAAGCCCTGGAGTCAGGCGGACCTGAGTTCAAATCCGGCCTCAAACACTTACTAGTTGTGTGACCCCGGGCAAGTCACTTAACCCCAACTGCCTCACTAAAAAGCAAAAAAAAAAAAAGAACCTTACATGCCATTTGGTCCAACTCTTTCATTTCCCAGTGCGACAACTAGGAACAAGAGACCTTACGTGAATTTCTGACAATATACAGATAGTAAATGGAAGAGCTGGTATTCAAATCCAGGTCCTCTCTGACTCCAAATGCAGTTCTGTTTTCTCTGTACCATAACACTTCCCAAATTTGTGCCATAAAAAGAAACTGTTAAGATTGAAAGAAGGGTAAGTTGAGTTCCGTTTTAGACATATTGAGTGTTGGGTACCAGGCACAAATCCAAGGAGAGATTTTGAAACTAACACATTTTAGATTTTTCATAAGCAACATGCTGTTAACTGCTTTACAGATAATAATTTACTATTCAAAACATTGCTTATTCTACCCCTGGCTGCTTCCAGGATCACAGAGCCATCTTCATGCCATGACTCCTTGCTCTACCCTCTACCTCTAGAGCTCAGGACTCAAAGATACTAATGATCTCTTAACTAACAAACCTAAAAATGGCTTTTCTTCAAGCTTCATCTTCCTTGACCATACTAGTCTTTGACCCACTTCTCCTTAATCACCCCTGCTCTCTCCTGGCTATCCTCCTATCCATCTTACTACTTTCTCAGTCTCCTTGGCTGTATCTTTATCAGGTCATGCCTATTAATTGTGGGTCTATCCCAAGGCTCTGTCCTGAGCCCTCTTCTCTTCTCCCTCTAGACTATTTCACTTACTGATCAGCTCCCATGGATGCAATTATCATCTCTGTACAAATGATTCTCAGATCTGTCAAGCCATACCTTCTCTCATGACCTCCAGTCCTGAATTTCCAACTGCCTACTAGATATCTCAAACTAGACAGATGTCCCATAGACATCCTAAAGTAAGCATGCCCAAGCCTGAACTCATTATCTTTTCCCAAAAACTCTTCCTCCTTACAAATCTATTATTGCAGAGCACCACCATCCTCCCAGTCACATAGGTTCACAATCCCGATGTCATCCTCATTCTTTATTCTCTCAATCTCCATATCCAATCTGTTGCCAAGGTCTGTCCTATTCTGGTAAATGTCCCCTTCTTATCTATGACACTGCTACCTACCTGATGCAAGTCCTTATCACCTCATTCTTGGACTACTCCAATAACCTGCCTCAACTCTCTCCCTACTCTGGTCCATCTTCCACTCAGCTTATCAAACTGATTTACTGAAGCATAGTTCTGACCACATTACCCTTACTCAATAAACTGCAGTTCAAATATAAAATTCTGTATTTGGTTTTTAAACTCCTCCATAATCTGGCCCACTCCAACCTTTCCAGTCTTCTTATACCTTCTTTCCCTTCTATATACTATGTGCTCAGTGACACTGGCCTCCTTGCTCAAGATCCTTGCACATGACATTCTCTCTTTGGACTCCATATATTTTTACTGGCTGTACGCCATACCTGGAATGCTCTCCCTCCTCATTTCTTGTCTCCCATATTTCTTGACTTCCTTCAAGATCACAACTAAAAGCCCACCTTCTACAAGAAGCCTTTTCCAATCTCCCTTCATACTGGTGCCTTCCCACTAAGATTATCTACTTTTTAAAAAATTTTATCTATATTTTATCTAATTTTATCTATATCTTGTTTGTACATGGTTGCTTGCATGCTGTTTCCACAATCATAATGTGAGCTCTGAGAGCAGAGACTTGTGTTTGTTAAAGAGTTTTTTCTTTTGGTCTTTGACTCCCCAGTGCTTATCATAACGCCTGGGATGTAGCAGATGCTTAAAAATGCTTGTTTGATGGTAGATATACAATGCTCTATAAATGTCCTCATGTATGTCCTATTAAAAAATTTAGCCTAAGTCTCTTCTCTCATAAACCTGGGTTGCAGCCTGGTCTGTGCCTTCTGGATTAAATATCAAGTCCTTTACTCTTATCTCAACCGACAATGCTCAGGCCTTCCCTAAAAGAATTTTAAGCAATTGAAAATGGAGGCAATATATTAAAAATTAACATGATTGAGTTTTTTTAAAAAGCCTATATAAACTAGAGCTTATATATCTGTATAGTTAGACTAACTACTTTAGATTTTTTACATTTAATTTTATTTTTTCTCAATTACATGTAAAAAATTTTTAACATTCATGTTTTGAAATTGTGAGTTCAAAATCCTCTCCCTCCCTCCACCACCTCCTTAAGAAGGCAAGCAATGTGACATAGATTATATATGTTCGGTTATGCAAAACATCTTCATATTAGGCACTCTGGAAAGAAAATGCAGACAAAAAAACCCGAGGATGATAAAGTAAAAAAGAAGTGTGCTTCAATCCTCCTTCAGACTCAATCAGTTCCTTCTCTGGAAGTGGACAGCATTTTTTCATCATAAGTGTTTTGGAACTGTCTTGGATCATTATATTGCAGTTGATCATCATACAATATTGCTATTACTACATACAATGTTCTCTTGGCTGTGCTCACATCACTATATTGGTTCACATAAGTCTTCCCAGGTGTTTCAGAAAATATCCTGCTTGTCATTTCTTATAGCGCAATAGTATTCTATCCAATCATATACCACAACTTGTTCAGCCATTCCCCAACTGATGGGCATCCTCTCAATTTCTAATTCTTTGACACCACAAATAGAGCAGCTATAAATATTTTTGTACATACATGACCTTTTCTTTTATCTCTTTGGGGTACAGACCTACTAGTGATATTGCTGAGTCAAAGGGTGTGCACAATTTTATAGCCCTTTGGGCATAGTTCCTAATTGCTCTCTAGAATGGTTAGATCAGTTTACAACTCCACCAACAATGCAATAGTGTTCCAATTTTCCCACATGCCCTCCAATATTTGTCATTTACCTTTTCTGTCATGTTAGTCAATTTGATAGATGTGAGGTGGTACCTCAGTTATTTTAATTTGTATTTCTCTAATCAATAGTGATTTAGAGCATTTTTTTCATATAACTATGGATAGCTTTGATTTCTTTATCTGAAAACTGCCTGTTCATGTATCCTCTGACATTTATCAGTTGGGAAATGACTCATACTCATATATTTGATGCTGTTCTCTATATGTTTGAGAAATGAGGCCTTTATCAGGGAAATATGCCATAAAAATTTTCCCCCAGTTTCCCACTCTCCTTTTAATCTTGGCTACACCAGTTTTGTTCGTGTAGAAACGTTTAAATTTGATATAATCAAAATTATCTATTTCACATACCCTAAGGCTCTCTATCTCTTGTTTGGTCATATATTCTTTCCTTATCCATACATCTGACAGGTAAAGTTGCTTCTCTAATTTGCTTATGATATCTCCCTTTAAGTCTAAATCATGTACTCATTTTGGCCTTATGAGATGTTGGTCTATATTTAGCTTCTGCCAAACTGCTTTTCAGTTTACTCAGCAATTTTTGTTAAATAGTTGTTGTTGTTGTTGTTTGTCCTTCATTCTCAAAGAGGAGTGTGACATCAGGGAGGTGATACCATGACTTGCAAGTGAAACAGATTTAAGTGAGGGAGGGCTGTGCAAAGTCACCAGCCTCACTTTCTTATCAGGAGCCATCTGGGTCTAGTGGCAAGATATAGATCAGGACAACTGGAGAAGGCCCCCTTGTTAAACAGAGCTCTTGTCCAAAAAGCTTAGATCTTCGGGTTTGTCAAACACTAGATTACTATGGTTATCTACTACTATGTATTGTGCATCTAATCTATTCCACTGATCCACCACTCTTTCTTAGTCAGTACCAGATTGTTTTGATGATTACCTCTTTGTAATAATAGTTCGAGATCTGGTACTGCTAAGCTACCTTCCTTCACATGTTTCCCTTGATATTCTTGACCTTTTGTTCTTCCACATGAATTGTTATTTTTTCTAGTGCTATAAGATAATTTTTTGGTAGTTTGATTGATACGGCACTAAGTAAGTGTATTAATTTATGTAGAATTGCCATTTTTTTATTATGTTAGCTTGGCCTATCCAAGAGAAATTAATATTTCTCCAAGTGTTTAGATCTGACTTTGTGTAAAAAATGTTTTGTACATGGGTTCATATAGTTCCTGGGTTTGTCTTGGCAGGTAGACTCCCAAATATTTCATACTGTCTAAAGTTATTTTAAATGGAGTTTCTCTTCTTATCTCTTGCTGCTGGACTTTGTTGGCAATATACAGAAATGCTGATGATTTATGTGAGCTTATTTATATCCTGCAACTTTGCTGAAGTTGTTAATTATTTCAACTAGTTTTTGATTTTCTAGGAGTCTGCAAGTATACGATCATATCATCTACAAACAGCATACTTTATTTTAAACAAACTCATTAAATCAATGCCATAACTCTCCTGTAGGATAATACATTTTAATATATTGCCCAGAAAACTCTCTAGGATTGTAGATTGGAAACTTTACATTTTCATTTCCACCCTGACAGTTCATCATGGATTCAACAACCTCTTGCTCCTTGATTACACTCTAGCCATGTTGCTCCTGGTTGCTGCTGCTGCTACTACTGTTCTAAGCATATTTTTATTAAAAAGTAAATTAGCAGATGTTAAAAAAAATGGATTAAAGGTGGATTAGAATGCAGATAAGGTTTCCCCTTTGATTCAGTCAGAAAATTGAAAGAACACTGAAAAAAAGGGAAAGTTTTAAAGAAAAACATGGACATTAATACAGTCATTTTACTTTGTCCAAAACAAGAACCTATAGATTCCTCTATTATCAAGGGATCTCCAAAAATCTAACTCCTTCAAAAGGAGAAAATAGTCTATATGTTAATACAAAATATAATTCTGTAAGACCCATCCTACTTCCACAGGATACTATTTAAAATTGCATGTTTTAACTCTGGTTATAATGAACCATGCTCTATTACTTACCAGTCTATCAAGTATATGTCAGGAGTAAGACTGTAAGACTTGAAGTGAAGAAACAATTTGGAAAGATTTTCTTCAAAGAATACTTCAAATGTTGCAAAATATTTCAACATCTGCAAGTAAAAATATTACCATTGATATAACTTAAAAAACAAGTGAAATTCTAATAATCATAGGAATAAATTCCTCATTATTGAGGTTTATCAACAGAAAATATAGCTTCATTACCACTCATCCTAATCTTTCTTCCAATCATGCATGCTGCTACAATAAAATTTAACATTTAGATTGCAGAACAATTATTCTAGACTTTCTATACTTTTCATTGTAAAAAGAATTTAACTTTTAGAACATATTCAAAATCAAAATGAAAACTGTTATATCTCTGTTAAATGTCCTTACCATGCTATGATCTACACGGAAAAAGGCCAACTGGCATGGCTTATTCAAGAGATTTGCAAAGGCAATGAAAGCATCTGCCTCTTCCAAGTTGAGAATGAGCACTGCAGCAATGAAGGACATTCCTTGGACCTTCAACAAGAAAAAGAGCTAATAAATTTTGTGTAGGATAATAATCAGATTAAGTCTAATTACAAAGTAGTTCTGTGATTAAACAAGAGATTTTCCTCCAGCAAAGGCAAAGTGACTAAGAGTTCACCATAATTTTATCTCTAATACAAGTGGCATGTTCAAAAAACGTTAAATTTTACCTGCTACCAAAGCATTTTACAATGCATAGAAGCAGTAATCCAATCAGGTATTTGTCTACTACAGCTTTGTAACTTTCACCCACCTACCCTTCTTTTCAAATTCCCAGCTATAATTCCTACAATTCAATCATTTGAATCTTATCCATCTAGAACAAAGCTCAATACTTCCCTCACTTAAAAAAAAATACCTATCTTGTTTGTTAAGAAAAGTGACTGCTACCATTGTCACTCCCCAGAGGCTGTTCCAAATCTTCTCTCCCAAAGCATCCCATACTACCTCTTACACCATCTCTCACTGAGAGAGGATAAAGAAAAGAGAACCTCATCTGGGTTCTACCATCTTTAATCTGCTATTTCACTGAAAAATAAAATAAGACATTGTGTGTGAGCTCCCATTCTCTACATTTCAAAACACCATGACATCATCATTAATTTTCTCCTTTACTCCAGGTTCTGATAGTAGACTCTTCTCCCAAAAGCCAACTCCTTGGCATGCACCATAATTCCTGTCACAATTATCTTCTCCTCACCACCATCTCATCTTCAATCTCTCCTTATCTACTGACTCCTTCCCCTCCAAAGCTTACAAATATCCTCAGGTCTCTTCCATTGTGAAAAACAAAACAAGAATTTTTGTTTAATCCCTTCAAGCTAAAGTCCTAACTCCTCCTTTTCATTCTCAACCTTAAAGAAAAAGTTGTTTATGCCCACTGCTGCTTCCACTTTTCAAACTTTTATAATTTGTAATTTGGCTTTCTATATCATTATTCAAGTGAAATTTCTTTTCAAAGTTAACCAACCATATCTTAATGGCCTTTCTCAATTCTTATCCTGACTGAATGACTTAATAAAACAAACACTGGTATAATCAGACAGATGAACTTCCCCACTTGTCCTTATCTGAGTTTTCAGGATTCTGCTTCTCTACCCTCCCCAACTATTCCTCTCTGACCACTCCTTCTGCGTCTCTTTGCTGGCTCATTCAGATCATACTCCCTAATCATGTGTGTTCCTCAAGGTTCTGTCCTGGAGTCTCTTTCCTTTCTACATTCTATCAGTGAATCATCTTCCATGGGGTTAAATATCACCTCTACATAGATAACTCTCAAATCTATAGATGTAGCCTTAGTACCTCTCTTGAGCTCCAGCCACTCATCTTTAACTGCCTAGTAGATATTTCATTTTTCTTGTCCTGTATATTTCATATTGTTTGTCCTGTGTATACATTTCAAACTCAACATGTTCAAAACAGAACTCGACTTCTTTTTTTTTTCTTTCTTTTTGTACCTTTTTTTTTTTTGCAAGGTAATTGGGGTTAAGTGACTTGCCCAGAGTCACAGTGTCAAGTGTTTAGTCTGAGGCCACATTTGAACTCAGATCCTCCTAACTTCAGGGCTGGTGCTCTATCCACTGCGCCATCTAGCAGCCCCCTAGAACTCATCTTCTAAAACTCACCTCTTACCAGAACTTTCCTGATTTCTATAAAATGCATCATCATCCTTCCATTTACACAGGTTTTCAATCTTAAAATCAACTCCTCCCTTCCCACACCAAATCAGTCACCAAATCTTGTCACCTGTATCTCTTCAACATCTCTTGCATCAATCTCTTTTTTTTGTCACCTCCCTAATTCCTTCAAGTACTCATTAGGCCCTAGATTAGTGTAAAAAAGCCTTGTTAATGGGGCTCCTTGCCTCAAATCTCTCCCCCTTCCAAACCATCCTCTAACGCAGCCTCAAAATGGATTTATTCCTAAAGGACAGAGAACCAGGTCATCATTCAAAAGTGCCAGTGCTTAAAAAAAAAAAAACCATGCGGGGCCTCCCTATGACCTCTAGAATCAAACACAAACTCTTTTCAGAGGCATTTAAAGTTCTTCCTAACTTGGTTCCAACCTATCTTTCTAGCTTTATTTATACACTGTTTCTACATTTCTGCTTGACTTGTCTCCTGTGTATACGAATGAAATCTCTGCTGCTGTTCTTATCCTTGATTGCTATATTTATTTATCCTTATATTTCTGTTGTCTGGAGGGTTTGAGAAGCAAAAAGTATCTTCAGGTCTGGTTTCTTTCTAGGAATGTTTTCAATGCCTCTGCTTACTGAATATCCATTACTTTTTCATGAATGGTTAGGCTCAGATTTGCAGGGCAGGACACCTTCAGTGAACTCCTTTGCTGTCTGGAATACATTATTTCACCTTCTCTTACAGTTTCTGGAAAGAGCAAACTAGTCCAGTTATTCGATTTTCCTTTTTTTTTTTTTCTTAAATATTTGAAGGTCTTTCTCTTCATCACTTACATAATTTCTTATCATCAGAATTGTTAAATTTAATCACTATGTGTCTTAAGAGTTTGGCGCCCAGGGTTGTTTTCTGGAGGCAATCTGTGGATTCTTTCAAATGACACACTGTTTTCTATGTTCACAAGTTCCAGGCAGTTTTCTTGTATTATTTCTTGTACACTGATGTTCAGATTCTTTGATTTGTCATGTTTTTCTGTGAGTTCTATAATCTTTAAGTTGTATCCACGCATCTTGTCTTTGAGATCAAAACATTTTTGCTTTTATGGAGATCATACTTTTCTTTTGATGTTGTTTTTTGCTTCTTTTCTTCCAGATTATCTTTTACTTCTATTTGCATTCCCACTGAAGTTACTTTCTCATTTGTTTGGTGAGACTTGCCACCATGCATTCAGGTTTTTCTCTTCTGCCAAACTTTTCCACTGTGCAGACCATCAATTCTGTTTCTCTATTCTTACTTCTCATTTAGGGGCACCTAGGTGGCACAGTGGACAGAGAACCAGGACTGGAATCAGGAAGTCCTGAGTTCAAATCCAGTATGAGAAACTTACTAGCTATGAGACCCTAGGAAAGTAATTAATCACTTAACTTCTGGACTGCCTCAGTTTCCTTATTTATAAAATAGGGATGATAATAATAGTAGCTACCTGGAAGGCTTACTATGAGGATCAAATGAGGTAATAATTGTAAAGTGCTTAGCACAGTGCCTGGCACATAATAAGCACTATAGAAATGTTAGCTATTATTATTATTATTACTTAAATAATTCAAAAACATTCTTCTGAGGTTCAATGATCTTTTGGGAATATCAGGGTCCTCTGCCTTATCAAGTACTCATTCATTTTTTTTTTTACTATAATGCTTGTTCACAGATGCCTGAAATCTTTCCCCTGATGTGGAGGTCATTTCCCCTCCTGTTATGACCTCCTCTTTTGGTTTACATGCTTTTGTTCAAGGTCTCTTAAGTTTTCTTGCTCCTAAGATCTCTGCTAATTTCCTATTTTTTCCTTACTTGTCTGCTTTCTAACTTCTAACTTCTCTCTTGATGGCAGTCTCCTGGAGGGCTAGCATTCTCAGACTCCTCCCATAGTTCATCAGTTTCACTGGCAGCAAGTGACTGGTAGGGGTACTGAACCAGCCCCAGCTGGATGCAGGACTCTTTCCCTCAGGCTTAATGGGGTGTCATACAGCCTTGGTACTCTCTATACAGCACAGGGAGTATGTATCTAGGGATGGGTGAGAGGGTAGTATGGGGATGTACAGAACTGACTTCTATTGCATGCCTGTGGGCTATACCTAGCAGGAGATAGGGAAGGGTGATGAGTGAGCACATTAGGGGTTGAGGATTATTGGCCTTCTCTGTTAGTTGTTTTACCTCATTTGGGTTTTTGGTGTCCCAGACTGTAGAGACGGCTGAAATTGCTTTATTTCTTCCACATAGTTCCAAATTTGGAGAGGCTTGAGAGATGGTGAAAATTGCAGAAAATGTCTAGTCCTCTGTCTTCTCAGTCACATGACCTACAGTCTTCCTCCTCTTCACACTCTTTTCAATGCAGCCAAACTCACCATTTTGCTGTTCCTCCCAAACACCATCTCCCATCTCCATGCTTTTGCACAGGCTGTTTTCCTCATAAATGGAACACACTCCCCCCCCCACTTCCACCACTCAGGATCCCACCTGAAGGGCCACTCCCTACATGAAGCTTCCCCCTAAAATTAGCTTGTATTTGTTTTGTAAAAGTTTTACACATCTTTATATGGCTATCTAGGAGAGGCAATGTAGAATGGCAGGTAGAGAGCCAGCCCTGAAGAGCCCAAGCCCTACCTCTAATATACCAGGGCTGCTGGCTGTGCACCTCTGCGCACATTATCACTCAATTTCTCAATGCTCTAAGCATCTTTCCAAGACTCTTAAGTTACAGAAAAGGGGCTAATGTACACTGGTATAAGGAGTTTCCTCATAGAGGAGTTTCCTAAACTTTCAGTGAAATCCCGGGTCCAGTTCATAGCCCTAATGCCCACTGTTACATGTAAATATGTTTTCTTCCCCCATAGTATTTAAATTCCTTTCATTCCTGTCCCAGAATTCCCACTGTCTAATGTAGTATTTAACAAAAGCACTCTGACTCATTTATGCTTCACTGGTATTTATGCAGCATCAGGAAAACAACAGAAAGGCCCCAACAAGTAAATAAAGACTGCCTTGAATTTGGGGGTATACATGGATTCTGAGATGAATTATCAGAAGAGTATCCATGACAATGAGATCACCAATCCATGAAGATATAGGAATAAAGGTCTGGTGTTAAAGAAGTAAGAGTCCTGCCATTCTCTGCCCTGGACAGGTCACATCTGGAGTACTGTGTTCAGTTTTTGGTACTATATTTTAGGAACAGCATGGATAGGCTGGAGTGCATCCACAGGAGGGTGACCAGGTATACACAAGGCCTAACAGCCAACCAACCAACCAACAAATAAGCATTTATTAAATGCTTACAGTATGTGCCAAGCACTGTGCTAAGCACTTAGAACACAAAGATTAAAATGAAACAGTCCTGCTCTCAAGGAGCCTATATTTTATATGTGGAGACACATTTACAGAAAAGTAGAGAGAAGGTAATTTTATGGGGGAGTACGAAGCACGAGGAGCTAGGAAACCTAGGTTCTAGTCCTGTCCTGACACATCCTAGCTGTGTAACAATGGTCAAGTCATTTACCATCAGTGCTCTAGTTAACTCTCTAAGACGGTAAGGGGCAGGTAAGGTTCCTTCCTACCTGTATTGAAAGAGAGAGTCTCCTATACTAATGAATTTCCAGGTCCAGATCCTAATTTTATTCCATATTCACTGATTTAATATGCATTACAAGAAAATCCGAGCAATATATTACACTGAGTCTTCAAGGGAGATAAAAAATCATTATGCTTTATTCCTTCTAAACATAACTCTCCCCTCTCCACCTCACCTCCATCCATGCCCACTCCACAATTCCACAACAGACTCTCTGGCAAGTACCCAATGGGCCACTTTATGCTACTGATCTGGCAAAATTGCAGTGGTTTTTACAGATTCTATACCGTTCATCCTGGTATGCTAAAAAGCATCTCCAACACATGTACAGAATATGCATATATGCAAATCATCCAAAGGTTAATGTTTCATTGTGCAACAGAACAGATTAAGGAAAATACTTACATAACCAACATCGGGCCTGTAACATGTATATGCTCCTAAGATACTATGTAAGACATCATGATAAGGACCACCCTTAATGGGAGGGGGAAAAACAAAGTTATTTTTTGAAACTGCATATTAGTATTCAGATCCTGTATTTTTAATCTTCAAAGTCTAAGATGTCAAATTTTAATATAGTTCCTTCAAAAAGTTTTTCCATTTATTTAATTATCAATATTATTCAAAATGAATTATGTACTTTCTACAGTTATTAACAAAACAATTCTATATTAAAATAAAAAGGTAGCTAAACAAAATGCATTCATAATTTACACAACCCAGATAATTTAACAATGTTTTAACTTTTTTCATGACTTAATAGATCAAAATATGCTATGCCCAAATTAGTTTGTTTAGATGCAATGAATTCAGAAGAACTCCAAATATATTAAATAATGCTAAATAACATTAGAAATCTCAATAATGTGAACTTTTTTTAAATCACTATTCCATTTAACCAAAGGAGAAATGGATATTCAAAATGAAGATAACACAGTAAAGTTATGTTTACTTTGCTGACTAAAGTCAACAACAATAAAATTTAAATTTAACAAGTCTGCTTTTTAAAATCAAAAGCAACTACATTAATAAAAGTTTGAATGCAGATAGTTATTTCAGTATCAACTTCTGAGGCCCTGAGCATGACAGGTGATCAAGAAATATTTAAAAAATTTTTGAGATAAGTTTCTTTACATTTTTCCTACTAATAACAGAGAAAAGGTCCAATATGAACCGAAAAATATCAACAAAATAAAATGCTTAATAAAAGTAAGAAATCATTTAAAATCTATTCAAGAAGTTAGTGCCTAATAAAGTGCTTGGCATAGGGTAGGTGCTTAATGATACTTGCTGATTAGCAAGTTAGTTGGTATGTACTTTGAGCAGCTCTATGAAGTAAGCTTCCTCATTAAACTTTTGCTGTTTATTTTTTAATTCAGCCTTTTTGTAGACTGTGATTAGATAGTTTGCTCTCTTGGTTATTGCAAGAGAGGAATATTTTTTATGAGCTGGGTGAAAGGCCTCACCTTCTGAAAGATGTAGAGAGAAGGGAATGTGCGGGATATGTCCAGCTTAATTAATTCCAGACTAGCTTCCCGGTCAGCAACAGATACACCTACATCTGCCAAGTAAATAAGATAAAATAATTACTTGGCTTCCATACTGCCTTATCTTATGTACAAGGAATGAATACATGAAATCAAGTCTTAAACCAAAAGAACTAAAGCTGAATTATCAAGAACCTGGAGAAATTACCACTTTTTAAGTGTTTCTAGTCTCTCATCCATTCAGCAAATTACATGGCATGATGCCTAATTACTCCCTTCCAGGAAAGAGAAAGAACATTTTCTCAAAAGTTAATATTCCCCAAAGTAGATTCATAACTTTTCGTTAATATGAAAGAGAATGGGGACTTTGACCAATTACCTTTCTAAACTGAAGATCATTTGTTCATGCCAAATAAATTAGTCACACAGATCTGAAAATCTATTGTTTGCAGTTAATATTTAAAGACGCCAAAATGAGAAACAAGGAAGTTCTTGAGAGACCTAACTGCTATCACTGGATCTTAGATCATCCAACCCAATTCTCTCACATTACAAATAAAGCTGAGAAGCAGAGTGATTAAGTGACTTTGTCCAAGGCCATACACTTAAGTAGCAAAGCAGGGATTGGAATTTAGGTCTTTTGACCCCAAATCTGATGCTTTTTTTCTTTACCTTTTTAAAAACTAAATGTCTCTATTTCGTCCAAGACAGAAGTACAGAGGCCTTTCATAGGCTCAATCCCATTCTAATTATCAAGGGAGCTTTGGACTGCTCCAGTTTGTCCTTCCATAGACAACCCTTCCTTAGGTGGTCCCCACTCCTAGGGATTCAATATAATAATACCAAACTTAGCTCAGACATCTGACTGACTTAGCTCACTGCAGCTCAGAACACCCAAGCTTAAGAGCTTGGCCAGCCTTAGCCTCACTAGCAGCTGGGAACATAGCTGTGTGTCACCTTATCTGTCGATAGCACTCTTCTCACAGTGCTGTTATTTCCATCTCCTTTGAACTTTTATTACAACAACATAAAATTAAGTATAAATAATGAAATAGTTCTGTTTCCAGATAAGAGAGGTAGCAGCAGACAGTGGATAGAGAGCCAGCCTCAACATGAGGAAAACTGCCCCCCTGGATTCAAGTCTACCTCTGACACATACTAGCTTGCAAGACCCTAAGAAAGTGACAACCTTCTAAAGCTGCAAGCAACTCTTTAAGACTACAATTGAAGAGGAGATCATGACTGGCATTGGTAGAACAAGTTCTCTCCTTGGAAGTTCCACACCTCAAATAAATCTCATCAGTGCTGGCTTTTCTTTATTGCTCTCGTCACTTACCATTTTAAATTTAGGGCTATTTCACTGCAAAGATGAATGTCTGTCATGTCCCTCTCAGATTGAAAGCCACCCAGAACATTGCAAGAAATATCAGAATCCACAGTATTTTATTAGACCTGCTGATGGAACCCTGCAAAAATTTTAGAAGCAGCTAGATGGCAGGCACGAGATATGGACTCAAGAAGACTGGAGTTCAAATCCATTCTCAGACACTAGCTCTGTAACCCTGGGCAAGTCACTTGACCTCTGTCTGCCTCAATTTTGTTTCATCTGTAAAATGGGGAAAATAACAAGCAGGGTTGCTGGTTGCTATGATGATAAAATGATGTAATATTTGCAAAGAGCTTTGCAGATGTTGAAGTACAACATAAATGCTAGCTATTATTGTCATTATTACTATTACTTCAGCTACCTGTACTTATGGCCTCAGAAGGCAAAACTAGAAACAATTTGTGGAAACTACATACAGCAAGAGTTCTTTCAACTTACAAAAAAAAAAGGGAAAAAATGTCTAACAGAACTGTTCAAAAATAGAATGTACTTCAAGCCGAGTTTTAATAATCATCATTTATTGGAGATGTTGTAGTGGGGAATTACTGTTCAGATCTAGGGTGGAAATTCTTTATGATAAAAAAATATATATATAATACATATACACACACCCATACATATCTTAAGATGAGAACATCATAATGAAGTAGAACACAAATATTAGTTTAATCAGCATTTGTTAAATGCCTAGAATACACAAGGTATGCCATGATGTATAGAGAAGATAAGCTGGTCACATTAACATAACTGAAGCTAATTAGCCACGAAATGGTTCAAAAGCCAAATTTTCTTTTACATCAGGGAACAGATCTTTTTTAGTCACAAAAAAAAATTTAATTGCTTTCCACCTCTAAAATCTCTTCTTTATCCGAATTTATAGCCTAGAAAAAGTTGTTCCTAGAGTCACACTGCATGCAGCAAAAACAGTCTCAAATTATGTCTTTTATAAAAAAGAGAAGATGTTATAAGAGAAACAACAAAGCTGGTAATGTGATTCCTGAAAATCACCAGAGAACAATGCACTGACTTGCTCTATCCCATGCTGTGCTCCCTTGAAGGACTGTCCTGAGGGTGGAGAAGGAATACTCTGTTTTCTAGCTGGTAGAGTAAAAGCAGAGGAAGAAATACCGATAGTTAAAGGGTGTTTATAATAACTAGCTTTATGTGGGGAACAACTAAACAGTGATCTTGAGTGAATGAGTCTTCATGGATGGATTAAGACCTAGAGGATAAAGAGATGGAGAGGGGAAACAAAGAAAAGTATGTATAACACACGAGGCAGTAAGATAAACCATCAACAGTCAGTCATGACATATGAGCCTCCTCATATGCTCAGTAATTCAAAACTCCACCAGTCTGTCAGGTCTTGCAGATCTGAAAGGAATGATACAGAGACAACCAACCATCTATTCTAAGTCCTTGTCCAACTCATCTATTGGCCTCCAGGTCATTCCCCCTTTATCTTAGAAGAATCTAGTACCTGGTCCACAGTTTTGTTCTCTCCACTAAACTCTGCTCTCACCTTTGGGGACTTTACATGGATTTCTACATTTACTATGCAAGGATATTTCCTTGAACATCCTAAACTCCCTTTTCAACCTCCACAATTCCATTTCTTCCATACATACCTATAATAGTTTTTATCTCCTTGATCCTAAAATACAAAATAATTCTCTCCCAATATAACCTTCTATCCATCTATCTCTAAACTACAAAATAATTCTCTCCCAATATAACCTTCTATCCATCTATCTCTTCTCTTCCATATTCCTCCTAAACCTATTCTTCCATCTTTACTGTGACATCCAGTCCCATTATCTCCCTTCCTATTCTCTGATTCTATTACTGCTGTGTTCTTATTTTTCATGCTTCAGTCTTAACCAATTCAACTATATACTATTCTCCAAACTCCAATCTTCAGTTTTTCTATCATATACTGTGCATATATACACACACACATACACACACACACACACACACACACACACACACACACACTCACACACACAATCTTCTCAATAGACTGTAAGCTGCTTGCAGGAAGAAACTATTATCACTTTTATCTTTATAAACCCAGCATCTCGAAAATACAAGGTGTTTAATAAATGCTTCATTGATTAATCCAACTTCTCTCTTCCTACTTTTGCACTGAGGAGTACTGCTGCAGAAAATCATATAACTGTCAAATAAGACCACTATGAATTTGTTATCTAATTTCAATGTGGCCTTCAGTGCTGAAAAGAAATCTTTTTATATCTCCCTAATTTGATCTCTTACCACATTCTCCACAGTACCTATTCTAAATCTTCTCTTCTCTCCTTGATGCCTTCCATCATCTTACCCCTCTCCCTCTTGGCAGGACTGTGCCTCCAGTTTTACTGAGGAAATGGAATCTAACTGCTGCAAGCTTTCTCTTCTTCCCTATTCTATACCTCAAAATGCCTTTCATAATTAGCCATTCTGTCTGCTTTTGCTCCAGTTTCAGAAGAAGGGGTGGTTCTTTTCCTATGCAAGGCCATCCCTTCCCTTCAGATAGTTTTCTCCTCAATCATTCTCTTTTTCCTCTTTCCTCCCCTATGTACTAACTCCTTTTTTACATTTCCTCCAAATATATCTGTTTCCCATCCTTAATCCTTCACTTGATCCCACTATCCCTCATTAAGCTATTATATCTCTTATCCCTTTCTCAAATGCCTAGAAAGAGTGGAAAACAACCACATTTCCTCACTTCCCACTCATTTCTCAATCCCTTGCAATCTGATTTCCAACTCTGCCACTTTAATGAACTGCTCTCTCCAAGAATACCAATCATGTAAACTGCTAAACCCAATGGCTTTTTCTCAGTCCTCAATTTAACTGACTTCTCTGCAGTTTCTGACCCTATCAATCATTCCCTTCTCCTTCGGCTTCCATAACACTACACTTTCTTAGTTCTCCTATCTTACTGTTCCTTCTCAGTCTATTTTGCTGAATCATCCATTTCTTTCTTTGGGCATGCACTCCATGGATCTGTCTTGAGCCCTCTTTTCTTCTCTCTCTATACTGTTTCTTACAATTATCTGAATAACAGATTTTGTTATAATGGCAGAATAACAGCTGCTCCCCACATTGATAAGATCACAGGTCTGGACGACCAAGACCAAAACCAAAACAAAACACTTCTACTTATGGTAACTAAACAACAACGTGATAACAAAACAACAGGGAAAAGTGGCTTAGTAGAAGAGGCATCGGAGGAATGACAACTCGATATTTAAAATTTGCTACAGTTACATCTCATACAGATAATCTAAAGTTAACTTTACCTGCAATTGTCACAACGGTTTCTAAGTAATTTTTGTATTAAAAAAAGCTTCTTTTTGATTAGCCAATATCTAAAGTTCTCTCCAAGATGAGAGGGTCAAGTGGAGCATGGCTAGGTTCAAAAATATCAGCATACTCTTTACAGTTACTGATAATGAAAGACTGCACTATTTACCCTAAATGCATCAACTCAATGCTTAAATTAGGCAGCATCTCAATAATTAATTATCTTATGCTAATATAACCATAGGTTGCATTTATTTAAAGAAGGAGAAAGGACAAAATCAAGTGATAATACAGAGATAACTCCTCCTTGATTGGATCACATATAGAACACTGAATTCCTCTTCTGGTTATATTTTAGCACACATTAACAAAATGTTA